CTTTAGAGTAGTGAGAGAAGATCTTCACCCTGAAACCTACAGCGACCCTTTTCAGTTCGTAATAGGTAAATATCGGTATCTCCACCTAATTTTATCTATAAAGAATACAGAGGGAATGAAGGAGAAACAAGGGATTTTCTGAGATGCAGAGCTTACCTATCGATTGTGGAGAATCCATGTAAGGGTTACACTTTGCATAGTGGGAGCGGTCTGTAGCCAGCATTACTTCAAATACTTTATCTGTCTTGATGATTCCATTTTCTGAAATGAATAAAGCAAATATTTTAATGAAGAGAATAACACCTTCAGAAGTACTTCAGAATAATTACTCTGGCTATATGACAGACGTCAAATTAGTGAAAAAACACTGGAAGATACAAGACAATGGCCAGGTAATGGCAAGCTGGTCTTTAATAATAGCAGTAAAGATGGAGAAAAGCTGAAAGATCTGAGTTATATTTAGCAGATTACTTAGACCTGACTGGCTGGACTTGGGGTGGGAGTGGGGGTAATGATGGTCCTGAGATGCTGGTTCCATTTGCAGATGGGAGAAATTCTAGATAAAAGCATTTGTGATAAATCATTGCTCTAGTGACGGTCTATGGAACAGAAGAAGGGGAGGCATTTAGCAGTAGTAGAACATACACCCGTATGACAAGCCAGAAAGAGAGCTGGGATTAACGATAAAGATATCCCTTTCTACAGATGACAGCTGAAGCAATGGAAGCTAACTGAAGGTGGCCAGGGAAGAATACATTAAAAAAGGAAAACAAAAAGCAACATTTAAGAGGTATGCAAAGAAACAGGAGTCTCCAAAGATGATGTGAAGGGGTAGTATAGAGGTAAAATGAAAAACAGTTCAGAGAGACAGAAAAGTGAAAACGTTACTATGTAACATCTTTATTTACTCATTCAATTTGCTTATAGAGTATTCAGTACATACAGGCACAATGCTACAAGCTTAGGACTATGAGAACAAACACAACAACACTGTTTTTACTCTCACAGATCTTAAAACCTGTAAGAATTTATGAAATGTATAAACAGATTTTAATTTGTTGTTGTTGTTCTTATGTGCTGTCGAGTTGCTTGCGACTCATAGTGACTCTATGTTCAACAGCTCTGGACCCTGCTCTATCCTGTGCCAACCTTACTGTCTCTGACACCCCTGCCATCATTACCCCAGTCCCTGAGTCAATCCATTTCATCCAGGGTCTTCCTCTCTTGTGCTGTCACTCCACCCTTCCAAGCATGATGTCCCTCTCCAAGGACTTGTCCCTCCTTACAACATGCCCAGAGTATGTCAGATGAAGCTTCAGAATCCTTGACTCCAAGGAGCAGCCTGGTTTCACCCTCTCTAGGTTGAACATGTTTGTTCTCCTAGCAGTGAATGGTATGTTCAATACTCATCTCCAGCACCACAACTCAAATGCATCAATTCTCTATAATCCCTAATCATTGGGAGGGGAGGAGGAAGGGAAGGGAGGCTTAACTCACAAATTCACTCACTGCCATCATCGTCCTTCAGAGTGTTCCAAATCATGACGATTTTGTTGGGTTTTCCAGGACAGTAAATCTTAAGAGGAGCTGACTGCCCATCTTTCTCCATGGAGCAGCTGGTGGATTTGAACGCATGGAGACTAGCAGCCTTCTGGTTACAGACTACACCACCAGAGCAACAATTCAAGACCAAAACAACAGAAGAGGGCAGTATGGTACATAATAAAGTACATACAAAAATCACACCCAAAAAAAGAACAGTAAGGAATAAAATATTGACCACAGGTCTGAGACTTGAAAGCTTACAGCAACTTTGCTTATTAACACATCTACTTACAGTAACTCTGTTGCAGCAGAACCAGAAAACTAAGACATATCTCATTGCGTGTACACACACACAAGCACACACACATAAGCGTGTATACATATATATATATACACACACTGAAGAGTAATTAAAGACCCAAATTTAAAAGTTAAAATCATAAAACTTAGATTATTTGAATAAATCATCAGGACATCAGACTTAACAATGGATTCTTAAGACATAACAAATGCAGGAGCAACTAATAAACAGGTAACTTGGATTTTATCAAAATTAAAAACTTTTGTGCTTCAGCTTGAGACTATCAAGAAGGTGGGGATGAAAGAAATATTTTTAAATCATATACCTGATGAAAAATTTGTGTGAAGAATATATAAAGCAAAAATAATAAAAAGATAACCCAATTAAAAATGGAGCAAAGGATCTGAATGTTGTCTGTTGTTAGGTGCCACTGAGTCAACCACAACTCAGTGACCCTATGAACATCAGACCACTGTGTCAATCCATCTTGTTGAGAGTCTTCCTCTTTTTCACAACTCTCTACCTTTCCAAACATGATGTCTTTTTCCAAGAACTGGAATGGGCATTTTTATACTGGAGATTTATAAATGACCAAGGTACATGAAAAGATGGTCAACTTAATTGGTCGTAAGGAAAACGCAAATGGAAACTACAATCAGAGGCTCTTCACCACAATGAGATAACATTTCACTCTACTCAGAAACAAAAGTCATTGCTAAAGAGTCAAAACTGGGAGCTCTGGTGGCCTAGTGGCAAGAAGCTGCACTGCAATCCCAGAGGAACACGGTTCGAATCCACCAGATGCTCTGCCACAGAAGGAGGCGCAATATCCTCCTGTACCAGTCAGATCTGATGTGACGGTACACGCACACAAAATAGTAAAAAAAAAAAAGAGTCAAAACTAACTCACAGCTGACTGTCCAGGGGTTTGCGAGGTTGTCAATCACATGGAGGAGATAACCCTTCCTTCTCCAGAGGAATCGCCAGATAGGTGCCATCTTTAAGTCCCTCAAGGTTTGCCTTAACGAGCCTGGTGGCACAGTGCCTTATGTATTGGGCTGCCAATAAGAACATCAAAGGTTCAGATCCACTAAATTGGTATAATGGCAGTGGGGTTTGATTTTTTGAGTATTTCAATGGTGTTTCTAGATAATGCAAACAGATTAACTAAACTCTGCACTGTAAATCAAGAGGTTCAAAACCACCCAGAGGCAAAACAAAAAAAGCCCTGATATCCATCTTCCCAACAATCAACCAGAGAAATCCTCTGAGAGGAAGCATAGCTCTCCTCTGATACTTACTAGGATGCCATGAGTCAACTGACTCAAGAGAATTAAAAATTAATGGCACAATACCTTAACAAGGACCTGAAATTCAAGCCGGAGTCAAAAGAGGACATGGAATCAGGGTTATTATCATGAATGTCAGACAGACCTTGGCTGAAAGGAAGAATATCAGAAAGATATTTATGTATTGTATTTTATTGACTATGTAAAGGCATTCTGCTGTGTGGAAAATTATTTAGGGAAACTATTGTGAAAAACGGGAATTCCAGAGTATTTAATTGTGCTCATGCAAAAACTTGGACATACACAAGAAATCATCAAAGGAAGAGAACAAGTACAAACTACATGGTTTAAAATCATTCAGTCTAAATGCTGAGCAAATAATACAAGAAGCTGGACTATATGAGGAAGAACGTGGCATGAAGCCTGGAAGAAGACTCACCAAGGGCCATCATTGTACAGATGACACACTTGTTTTCAAAATTGATTTGAATTACATGTTGATGAAGCTCAGTGTTTACAGCCTTCGATATGGAGTATAGCTCACCATAAAGAAAAAAAAAGTCCTTATAACTGGAACAATAAACAGCATTAGGATAAATGCAGGAAAGATTAGTTGTCAACAATTTCATTTCATTTGGATTCACAATCAACATCCATGGAAGAACCAGTCAAGAAATCAAAAAATGCACTGCAGTGGGCAAAGCTGCTGCCAAGAACCTCTTTTAAAAGTGCAAGCTTGTTACATTAAAGAGTAAGGTGTGCCTGACCGAAGCCATAAGGTTTTCCATAGTCTGAGATGCATAGGAAAGTTGGACAGTGAATATGGAAAACTGAAGATGAATTAAGAATTATGGTATTGGCAAGAATATGAAACAAACCACGGACAGCCAAAAGAATAAACAAACATTCTGTGTTGGATATATATAACCAGAATGCTCTTCAGAAGTGCAACTTCATCTCAAATTGTGGGCATCTGACCAAGAAAGGCCAATCTCTAGAGAAAGACATCATACTTGGTAAGGTAGACAGTGAGTGAAAATGAATACCCTTCATGAGACGGGCTCACACGGTGGTTGCAACACAGGTGGCTAAGCATAGCAGGAACTGTGTGGATAGTGCAAGATCAGGCAGGGTTCTGTTCTGTTGTGCACAGGCCACTGTGGGCTACCACCAACTCTATGGCCTAAGACCACCTCCAGCATAATCAAAATTACCAAATGCCCATCATCAATTTGTTATAATGTGTGGTGGCTTGGATGCTGCTCTGATGTTGTCCAAGATTGTAGAGCAAATAAGAGAGAAAAAAATCATTAGAATTGAAATGTGTGCTGAGATGCTAATTCTATCTCTGTACTGCCACTAACACAGTGGTCCCCAAACCTTAAAGAGCTCGACTGATGGTGTTTTCGTCAGCTCGAAGTAGTGCTTTTTCCACACTCAGATCAATCTAACCATCAGAGAACCAACTGCTTTGTAATGTACTCACGTTACTCTCTAAAACCACAAAGAATATATTAAATTTCATACCAAATCAAACATTTTTACATTTATAAAGATCTATCATAACCACCTCAAGTCTTTGTCTTTTTCAGGGTAAGCAAACATATTCAATACTTTAAATTACTTATTAGTTCTAAAAACTGTGTAGAAAAGGGAGATTTGGGCTTCTGAGAGATAATGACCACACCAGAGAGTAACAAGGTAATTTAAGATAAGGATCTGTGGAGCCAAGAAGATGTGACTTAGGGTCACCCTGTATCAGCTGCCCTAGGGACTGAGTTCAACCATGCAGGTAACCAGTCACTAACACCTGCACAGTGAAGCCTCAGTAAGAACCCCCACCACCAAGGCTCAGATGAGTCTTCCTGCTTATTAGCAAGGCTCTGTGCACACTGGCACCTGGAAAGAAACGCCAGGAGACCACCACACCACAGAGAATGACAGCAGCTCTGAAGCGGCACTTCTCACCTCTGCCCAATGCATGTCTTTTCTTGGCTGAATTTAATCAGTACCTTTTCCCCACAATAAACTATGCCATGAATAACAGTGACCTTCAGAGAGTTCTGTGAGTCCATTTGTAAAAGTCACTGTTCCCAAGGATGGTTCAGGGAACCAATGAATTTGCA